CTGATGTCTTGCCTAACTTCCTTAGAGTGAGCTTGACTTTTTTCAGTAGCAAAACCGAGAATTTATATTTAGTGCTTCACTAGATGAGGATATTAATATTTATTTATTATACCATCGTTTCTCAAATACAAGCATATGCGGGATGGAATAAGAAATAGGGGGGGGGGAGGGTTTAAAGGAGGTTGGCAGTGACGTGAGGGAATAGGCGCCTTGACTGAGCTGGCAGGAAAGGGTGGTACGTCCGTTGAGTCACCGCATTTAATAGTGATGTCGTTATTGCTTTCACGACGGGACCACATTTTTCTGAGCGTTCATTCTGCACATGTTTGTCTCTGATAACATGCATCAACAAGGGATGTTTAGGGTTATCAGAGTGTTCATTCAAAAGTATGCTGACTAATTCCATTAAAATCATAGATTTTAGATCGCTAGGGCGCTGTCGTGGCCGGCTCACGCATGTCTAACGTTCTATCATTTGGTTCGACTCACTCCACAAACTGAGGAGATGCAGCGTCGAACGCAATTGTTGGGGTTGGCCCTTGCCCAGGTGAGATCGTTAATTTGCAAGAATATGTAATGGACGAGCTTTCTTTGAGACCAGAGGTCACTTCTGGTTGTGTCTACCCGCCTCTTGATCAGAAGCATGCTCATGAGGCGGAACTTCACGTTTCACACTCATGATGGTCAAAAAAACCAGGAGTTTTCATTATGTAGCCCGCTGTTTCCCGTTTTTTTTGTTATTCTTTATTTCTCGCTTTTTCCCACTAATCCATACTGAATAACGGTCTTGATATCTCTGAAACATGGCGTACATGATAGCAACAGCTGAACCAATTGGCTAGAGTGCCACATGGTGTGGACACTTTTACTTTTTGAAAATTAGCACGTTAATTAGTGCATTTCAGAGCGTCTACCTGTGCTCGGCCGTAGCTGCGTTCATTTGCATTTGCTCTACATCGTGAGTTTTCGTTGTGCTAGTAAAACTAAACAGTTATTGAAATGCGGCAGGAACTTCTTAACCCTTTGACGACCGCCGTTATGAATGCGTCACTTCACTTCTTTCTAAATTTTTTCATCAATAATCATTAACTCTCCAACAATTTCACTATTAGTAATTAGCGCATTATTCCGCGAATTCGATGATGTATTTGTGTAGTTTTGAAACAAAAAATGCCAAAATAAACCCCTAAAAACGTGTCGCCACCGAGCGAAAGTGTGGCCCACCGGCGGGCCACACGGTCGTCAAAGGGTTTAATATAGCCAGAATTGAATTAGCAACAGATAATTTACAGGGTCATAGTTAGACGGCAAGTCCTGCACCGACAGCATGGTATGTGGTTCGGGAGTCGGGGGAATCCCAGATCCAATTCAACCTGGCAATACCAAATCCTTCATACATTCGGGATCAATTCGCGAGGCGATGGCTATTCTCCGCAAGTAGGGGAGGCTTTTCCCCGAAATATTCAACGGCGCTATTCCGGTATGGGGTCATCTTTGTGCAGTGGTTTATTCCGTTTACGTTGGTCCCAGATCTTTTCATGCAGGGACGAGCTGATGTGGAAATCAGTGTTCTATCCTCCTAGATGAATGTGGTACTAATTAGAGCGACCCCTGGAGGGAAGGAAGCCCTGTTGGGAGTTTAGCCGCCGGGATTCGGGCTGTGCACGTGGTAGGTGGCGCGATTTACCACCACATTATCTCCTCCTCTTTCAATGGTAGAAAAAATTAAAATCATGACCCTAGGTCAGCTTAATGTCAGCTAGGGACATATCAATTTCTCCTTTTTAGGCTCTCTGCATTTTTTTCGAAGTTGCATCTCCAAATGTGGCTATTTTTGGAGGCAATAACAAAATTTTGATCTTGTAGAAACTACGCGTAACGAATGAAACGAGGTCCAGAGTAGTCAAAATTCGAAGTTTAAAAATTGCTCCCTCACCTACACTAATTTTGAATGACATGTGGAAGCACTTAGAACTTGGAAGCGCAGTAAGAGTTTCCACAAAGACGCGGACAAGTTTTATGTTTTCCATGTGGGTTCTCGATGCACTAAGTGGAATGGTTGAGTGAACTCACCGTCAATTTATCAGTACGGTGTGGGCGACAGGCGCGAAAATGCAAATGCTTTGCAGCCGCCTGGGACTGACGCAATTTGCGGCCGCTACAGACCAACTAAAACAAAGCACCAGAAACCCTGGACAAATAAGCGAGTGGTTCTGGAAGAAATTCAGGAGTTGGAGCGAATTTCACTACAAAAAAGGCAGGAATGAGTAGTGTGGGTACCATTAGGATTACACACGGTATTAACTGCGGCATCGCGCGAAGTGTGGCACCCTGCGGTGCCACGCCACGTCATTAATTTACCGTCGACCCAAATTTATTTGTTGATGACGGGTCAATCTCCTACATTCAAGCTCATTTTCATATTGACAACTTTTGTTAATTTTCAATATGCATATGGAATTTCAGCGGCTCTAAAGTCCTGCGTACCTCTGTCTCGTACACACCATTTGTTGGCCACTGTTTCTTCTACTTGGCGATGGGCTTCAACCGGCTCTCGTAGCATTTCTTTTCATTCTCTGCGCCTGTGTTAATCTGTGTGACGCAGGTGGGCCTTTTTTATTTTGTCAGAAGGCTGTTTTTCTTATTTATCATTTGTGAAAAACTCTCAGACTTCAAGAATATGTAGGTATCGCGGGAACGGGTATTTCTTGGGAAATCATATCATTTCTCATGTAAAATTTCCTTGCAGAAGAAATGATAGCAACCGAACTTGGTTGAATGGAGCTCAATCGTAGCCTTAAAGACTGTGACTACGAAAACGTGGTGTTGATAAATATAAAAATAGAGTAGCGGTTGGGACGCCAAATGGGAGAACGAAAAATAAAGTCACAAATACAGAAAAGAAATGGGCGCCACATGAATCAGATACTTACGACTTTTCCGCCAAGGAGGCGAGGTGTGGCGCTTTCATGACGAAAGGTGCGCTGGTTGCTGAGCAAGACTTCGAAAGCGCTCCGCCCCCAAAAGCTACCCACCCGCTGGTTTAATTGGTGATTTGGACGAGCACACAGCTGCCAACAGTAGCCACAAATGAGCAACTCGATTGAGCTGAGATTGGGCATGCGTGTCTCATACTCGCTAATATAAGAATCCTACTTACTAACTTACCTATTCATGAAATTGGAAGCCGGGCGGAAAAAGAGTGTCCCTTTTTGCGCTTTCGTGACGGATTTTTCTGCTTTTTCTACCACTGAGCATCTCCTCGTCTCTCTGAACACTCCTTCAAATTATCGTGATCGCTGCCTTTAATACTGCAGTTTGGGTGTGGTGTTTCTTCCATAGGAAGCTGTAGCAGAACGAGCATACTAGGAGATTAAGCTATCTGTTGATAGAAAACGCCACATGCGAGCTTGAACGCGTTTAATCAGTTCTATATACCGAGCCTTTTTGGCGGGCGCTCGGTTCGGCGCGGGCGTTTCTCAGATGTTGGTCCTGAATTATCGCAGCTAGTGATCGCCACTTTTCCGCAGACAAAAGGCCTCGATCTTGCTATTCTTTTGCCTGTTCTGGCTACCGCTTTCATGGGTGCATACTTGTTGTAAACCCACTTTATAGTTCCTGTTGCCTTCAACGGAACAGTCCGAGTTATACACACCGCAGTGGTGCGCCCTCAACTTATATATTTTGTTTCACAAGTCGATCGCTGGTAAAGGCTGATAATCTTCATTTCAGCCGTTTTGCCTCCACTATTCTCTCTACTCATTCCGTTGGGTTTCTACCTCACTGGACACTCGCCAACACTACCAGCCATTCCGTGGCAAGCGGCTTTCGTTGGTCTACCCGGCAATTTCTCGCTTCGTGTGTTTCCTGCTATTCTGATTCTATCGCACATTGCGGTGTCTGCGATCATAGTGCCTCTCGTCTTACCTCTTCATCCACTTACTAAGGCTGACTCGTTGAATGCCTTGGTTGGCTGCGCTTCGATTGCTTCGTTGTTCTCATGTATTGCTGCCACGATTCACATAGAAGACATCTGATGGTGTGGAAGATTTTCGCACCACGATTCATTTTGAAAGTTTCCTTTTTATTTACTTTCTCTGTGTATCGAATTTGGTATTATTGATATAACAAAAAATGAAGCTCCGCTAGTGTGAAGAGATTCAACTCCCCTGCCAAGGCCTTTGTTCTCTTCGTCTTTCTTGATCCTTTTGACGATCTGAAGCATTCGTCGCCTCCGCAATTTGCTCAATGACGCTTGTTGCTTAGCAGATTGGCTGCTGGTCATGTCAGTCTGCTCATGCTATTTGCCTTGTTCGAGATTCGTTTGTTTTATTTTTCCTATTATATATTTAATATGCACAGAAGAACCCTAAATTACAGCAGGAATGAGTTGCCTTTTTTAGGAGTTGTTATTTATAATGAACTCAAAATATTGTGATTTGTATAAAAGAGGGTCTTGCGGTTTTCAAGATGTTTTTCAAACAATAAAAGGCTGATTAACGCCTTTTGTACCTCGAGACGAGTGGTTAAAGTCTCATAAGAATACTGGGTTGTGAATAAAATTCTCGCCCCAGGCGGGACTCGAACCCGCACCTCTTTCTTACCGGGCAAGAGCGCTACAAAATGCTGTAGTTAGTCATCGCGCAAGGTAAACGGCGGCCAAAAACAGCAGTTAACATTTAAAAACAAATCAGAAATTACTTTGAGTTGCAGGATTACTATACAGTTAATCTGCGCAAGAGAACGCAGATGAAGATCGAAATAATGGGCCGGGCTAAGTGTGAGAGTGCGAGAAGGTCCGCTACGCAGGAGTTGATGTTAGGAGTTAACTTATTGAATGGGAGCCGAGAGCTTTTCAATCGAAACATGCATATTGGCATAAAATCATGCACTACGCTCAACAACTCCCAAATAAGTGGCAGGCGGTGTAATTATGCGTAGGTGAATTCCACCAATCAGTTCGGGCCTCATCCGGAGGACAAGCTCTCCATATCGACCCCTCTCACCGCACTCCAATCGTTCCCTAGGATGGAGAAGTTGTAAGCTACTGACGACATGATCGTGGTTGTAGCGCGTATTGCCGATAGAGCACGCTGTATTTCTTTCAGGCAACGAGATAGAAGGTGGTATGAAGCTGTTTCCCTTCATTGGACATATTTCCTGTTGTTTTTTTTCAGTTCAAAAAATCATATGTGTAGGAGTTTACAAGACCTTTGAAGACTCACTACAGCTGCACTAAATAATAAACATCCTGTTACAAAGCGAATGAAAATTTTTGAAAGCAAATTCAACGGAAACAACTTAGTATCCGTTGGTGAATTGTTATCTCCTGTTATAACTGTAGAATTGGACGATGTTGAAAAATTCTGAGGGTTCAACTAACTTGCTTTCCAACGGATAACCTGCGCTTTCTTGAAAGCAGTTTTTTTTTGAGAAAAAAAAAACAGTACCGTTGGTAATTGTTCGTGCACTACGGGAATTCGCTCGTCTTCGAAAGACATAACCTTTTTCAAAACTTCTGCCAATCAAAGGCAGAATGTTATGACATGAAGCACCTCAAGATTTAAGCCCTCGAAAAAGTTTTGAATCTTCATTGAGAATTATTTCTTCCAAAAATGGCGTTATTGGTGAGTTTTTCGAGGTTTGTAGGCCTATTTTTTGGAGACGCGAGCTTTGAACTTCAAATAGGTTCTTGAATGTTGTTCAGATGCGGTACGGCACAAAATGCCTGCAAAGTAAACGACTCGGTAATAGCCTTACTTTTTTATGATCATAGCAAAGTGAACTTTATTCTTTGAAGATGGCACAGTGTCATATATGCCATTTATTAATTAAGTACGGTTCAAAGTTTGGAACTTTTATTTTTGATCTAGCGCGGCCGATACACAACGAAATTGTCCCAAATTTAGATATTCCATACAAAATCGAGTTCAGAATACGACGGGAAGAACAATTTCCAAAAACCTATAATCATATTTGAGAAATAAGATTTTTTTCAAGTAATGGCGCGTCAAAAGTTTGGAAACTTTTTGTTTCCCTTATCAGTATGATTCCTACTCTTCAATGTTCACTTGTTTCTGTTAATTTTAGTTAAACCATTGAGCAATGTGTAATTTTCAAATGAATTCATATGCAAAGAAGCAGTTTCCGCCCCCCATTGGAGTCCTTTTTACAAACCCTTACAATCCAGGACCGGAATATGAAATTGAAAACTATTACTTAGTAGATATCAGCTCTATGGGAAGCAATATATCTTGACGCGCCTGTATTCTATACGCTTATTGGAGTCCAAGTAAGCCAATAGGAAAGAGGATCATGCACAAAAAGTATCTTCACAAAAAATGAATTACCTCCTCAATATAATTAGAAAGGTGGTATGGCAGGCCACAATCTTTGCCCAAAATTCGCAGACCGTAGAGAAAACTTTTTTAGGTTTTCCCTAACCATGTATAGTGTCCAAGTGCACGCAAAATGGACGCACATGATGTGAATAGCATATGCCGTAAAATGATGTCGCAAACAGCGAAGCGTTGTGGGGACTGAAAGGCCAGCAATGCCAACATGGCCATTCACCGAAAAACTCTAGGCTAACATGGAACCGAAGCCAAGAGGTGAAACTTTGTCCTCAGCGACGATGAGATTTCTATCTTCCTAGAAATAATGGTTGGACCCTGTGAAGTGTTTTGTCAAATGGGAACCTCATTTTGAGTATGAGATTCCAACAGTCAGAAATAGTGGAAGTACTGTCATGGATGAACATGTGTCCGACCATTCGGCGATTCCACAGTTCTAGGTATCCAGCGAAATGTGGGTTGGGCTAAGTACAAGTGTAGTCTGTAGAATACAAATGCTTTACCTTCGATAGTCAGAACTAGCCGGAAAAGATGGGTTTTCTTTCACGGAAATGACCCGATGCAGGTCTACCTCCCCACTGCCGCCTTCCTAAACCCAGAAAAAAGGAGCTGCTATGAAGCGACCAAGTCAAGATCTAAAGTCTAATTGCGTATTCACAGCTCATGCTAAGAATGCATGTACGCTTCAACCATGTCCAATTTAGATCTATCAACAATAGTGTTTATTTACAGTGTAGAGGTTCGACATAAAAGTTCATAAATTATTTTCCCCAGTCCATACAAATATCAGTAGTACAACACTAACCATAGCCTAACATAGAAATTCAAGCCACTCATAAGTTTAGCTAATATTATATGATGGTTTGGAACAGCTATGCGAAGTATACGCTCTGGGAAGATTACGGAAAGTTTCAAACTTTGTGAACGCGGCAAAATTCTTTATTAAAATAATGCCCACCCTCGTAAGTTTTTTCAAGCACGCGATATTCGGCGTTTTCAAAAAAAATCATGTTACATCGTAATACTACACTCATGAATTAATGCATAATAATGGGTGAATCGGGGCAACTTTAACATTGTCTGTATACGCTACAGCTATGATCTAAAATAGAAAGTTTCCAAAATTTTGACGTTACTGTAAATGGTTGCCGCTGACGAAATTAGGCAGTTTGCTCAATTCTCCTGCCTTCGCGGCCTAGAGAGCTATTACGTTACACTATCACCATTGGTCAATGGATCACACTCATAAGTACGTCAAGAAGTTTGCTTTGGGTAAATAATCCAAAGTGAAGGAGTGCATTTTTGTGTTTTGGGCAAACAAGAGAGGCTTTCAGAGCAAGCCGCATTTTTTTAAAAATTCCTTGCACATTATGGACGTATGTGTGGAATAAAAAAAACCATGTTTCTTTTGCTGAGCGGTTTTGGCAGCACCAAAAAAGTAGTGACTGCTGATGGTTCGATCCTCGAGGTGACTAGATTTTGTATTTTAGTCTGGCGCCTACGGGTTGGTAAGAATGGCTCCAAATACCAAGATCAAATGTCGTGCTCATGGTGAGGACCATATAAAGGTGGAAAGTAGTTGCCACCCCAAACGCAAAATTTGATAAATACTACCGAGAATCGAACCATTAACAGTAATTTTCACACTTTTTTGGTACTGCTAAACCGTTCAGCGAAAATGAAACATGGTTTTGTGTTCCCTACATGCGTCCCTACAATATGCAAAACCGTTTTGAAAAAGCGCACCTTGCCCTGAAAGACCCCCCCCTTGTAGGATTGTTTCTTCGGGAGGGTACTTAGGCCGATGTCAGACTTTGCGAATCGCGCGATTCGCTAGCGTCCGCGGTCGCGTCGCGGCCAGTGAATCACTCAATTGGCTGGTACCGCAACGCGACCGCGGACGCTAGCGAATCGCTCGATTCGCAAAGTCTGACATCGGCCTTTGGTTTATTCTTGCCCAGCTACCGCCGGATGATTCCACCTTTCCTTTGGGAATCATCCAGCGGTAGCCGGGCGAGAATAAACTGGAGCCGATTGCCAAACAAGCCCTGCGCTAATTGGGCAATCCAACTAGTTTTAGGTTTTAGGAAAATTATCCCCTTATTCTCCATTCCATGTGGAATCAACATGAAATTTGCTAAATGTTTTATTAATAGCGATGATATGTTGACTTGCATGATTATTGTCAAGCAATGGAAAGGCACTGATAAGACCCGCAACTAGGTGAAAAGGTAAATCTGTAGACTTAATAATGAATAATCTGTACACATTATTGTCGCTCTTCTGGCATTGAAAGAAGAATATTATGGAGAATTGCAGAGAGTTGTCGGGCAAGTTGAAGTGAGCTGGACGTGGGCGCCTGAAAATGGTCGCGATGTGAATGGCCCACAGCGATACTGACGTCGGCTTACCTCGTCCAAAATCTCCTTCAGCCTCCTAGCGATGTCCTTGGTTGGGCAACGACGAAACGGTGTCATTTGAAGGAGCTGAAGTAAGTTTGAATCAAAAATCTTTTCCAACTGGTCCATGTTTGATCGTACCGTCTGCTAAAGCCCTTGGGCTGGAGCCAGGACCTGTGGTGTTGGACGAAATCCCATGTTTTTATGATACCCTTCTTGGAAGGTCTCGATTATCTCTCGCCCCGTACTACAATACGTGAGCTGGGTCGCCCACAAATACGACCC